CCCCGACGCCTGGTGCAAGACCGCGCTCGCTTTCCAAACTGTTTGGAGAGGAGCGATCTCCCGGCAGATAGGGGTGATTTCTGTTTAAGGGCCGCTGCCGTGTTGGCTCCCCCCTGTCCCCCCCACCTCTAGCAGCAGTTCCTACCGAGTACAGGACACCTAGGCAGCATGCTTCCTGGCCCATGGTGCCAGAGGCAAGGGGCAGCTTTTCAGTGAGGGTCCAGAGGGCAGCCCTGCCTGGTACATATGTATCAGACTCCCTGGGCTGCCCACCCCCCAACACCTGGGAGGGGGCTCTGCCAGCCCAGGTGAGCAGCAGGGAGGGCCCCGCGGCCTGCCTCTTGGCTTTCCCTGCTTCAGCCTGGAGCCCCACAGACAGCAACTCCCTGAGCAGCCTGGCACGGCTGCCCAGGTGGCTCTGCGCCAGGCAATCAGGGTGGTCCCTGCAGCCAGCTGGGAGCTGCAGTGTCCCTAGAGGTCTGAGGGCCATCCGTCCACAGGGCCTGTCGGCGGACAGCTGATGGAATCTGCATGTGGGGAGCTGAGGGCTTGGCCAAGGCCAGCAGTGGGGGGGCTGTGTGCTTCTCACAGGTGTGGCTCCGGAGGGCGAGACGTCCCTCCCTGAACTGGACCACGTGGCTCCTCTGGGTGTCTGCACGGCTCCACCCAGGAGCCCACCTGACCTCCAGCAGGCCCCACCCGTGGCAGGGCAGTCGCAGCCTTGGGGTCCGTGCCCCCCACCATGCACTGCCGGGCCTGTTTTGTTTGTGCTGCAAGAGCTCCAGGTGCTGCCAGTACAGGTTGAGCAACTTTGGCACCGTGGCCGAGCAGAAACCCGGCCCACACGGGCCTTGTCAGGAGGCAGCTGCAGATCCAGGCAGGCCCAGCCGGTCCCCGCTGCCACACTCCGTCCCTCTCAGGCGTCCCTGGGAGTGGCTGCTGCTGCTGCTCTCAGGCTGGAGTGGCCCACTGGGGCCCTGCGTGCTGCCGCCTGCCTGCACAGCCATGTGCTTGGCCCTGACTTCCCATCTGGCACAGCCCCGAGCAGGCTTGTCCTGGCACAGCGGAGCAGGGGGTGAGTCCTTGGCTGCCCCCGTTAAAAAGGGAGCGTGCGGCAGGCGGGCAGCTCTGGTTCTTGGGACGGGAACTCGAGTGTCCTGGTGGATTTCTTGTGGGGGCGTGTGCCCCTGTGAGCTATGGGAGAGGGCACCCACGGGCTCTAGTGGCTCCTGATGACTCCCTCCCTCGGGGTGCTGGTTTGGGGCCTGTGAGGACAAGCATAACTTTGGGGAAGGCCGCTTCTTCTCAGGGGCTGCGGAGATGCCCAGGAGAGGGGCAGGGTAGGGCTGGGGCCTACTGCCCCCGTTGGCATGCACAGTCGGGAGCTGCGGTGTGAGAAGTGGAGACCAGGCCCCCTTAGTTCCCCAGCATTGTGTTCAGCGCTCACCTTGCTCCCTGGGTGGGTGGGGGAGGAGTGTGATTGTCACAGTGGTGTTTTGTCACCATTGCCTGTCCCAAGGGGAAACCTGGTTCCCAGGTGGCCCACTGACCTTTGAGGGCGGCTCTGGTAGTGGTTTGTTCTGAGGAAGGGTGCCTTCAGCTCTGCAGTACCAAGGATACGGGCAGGTGGGGGAGAGGCCCTGGGTGGCACTATCCCCGGGCCTCAGGCACTCAGGCCGGTCCCCAGAGGCCCTGTGAGCATCGTCACCCTGCAGCTGTCTGGGTGGCTGTCTGGGTGGCTGGCCTGACTGCAGCCCCTCGAAGATGGGAGCCTCTGACACAGCCAGGCGGGGGCCCCAGCGTGTCCTGCCCTGGCCATGGTTTGGGGAGTGGACATCGCGGTGGGGATCCCACTTGGAGATGCATTGATGGAGCTTCCGGGGGTGTTGCCTTGAGGTGGTGGCACCTGTTGGAGGACCAGTCAAGGCCAGCTGCAGGGTGTGTGTGCGCGTGTGTGAATGTGTGTGTGCAGTGTGTGTGCGTGTGCGTTTGGGACCCTGTGAGTGTAAACATTGTGTGTCTCTGTGTGAGCATGACCGTGCATATATGTGTGTGTTAGCACGAGTGTGCATGGGCATAAGTGGGCACATATGTGTGTATGAAAATGAGTGTGCTTGTATATGCGTGAGCATGAGTGTGTTGCGTGAGTGTGCATGAGCGTGAGTCTGTGTGCATTTGCACGTGTGTGTGCCCTCAGCCTGCTGTGCCGGCACAGGCTCTGCTCACTCAGGGCAGCACCTGGGTGTGCTTTCTAGGGATAGAATCACCCTGTGGCCTCCGAGCTCCTGACCGTTAGCCAGCCAGACTGAGACTCCTGGGGGAGCCCTGAGGCCAGCAGGTCGGGCCCCTCGGCTGCCCTGTGGGTTATGGACGGGGGCGCAGCTTGCTCCGTGGACATACGCAATTCTCCTCTGTCCTACAGGGTCACCCTGAGGTGGGGGCTCTGGGTTGAGTGGGACAGTGTTGATCCTGTCTCAGGACAGCAGTGGGCAGTGTTCCGGTGTCCCCGCTGCACCGACCACTGAGCCCACGGCCTTTGTAGCCTCGGCTCAGGTCCTTTCAGGGCGTGTTGGGCCTCCCACCTGCCTGCACCTGGGCCTTTCCTACCAGTGTTGTCACTGAGATGGTGCCGGGCTCCCGAGGGTGCCCCGGGTGTGGCCAGGACCTGCCCCAGGTGTGGCTGTGCTCAAGGGGCCTCCCTAGGGAGGGCACTGGGCCTGGTCATTAAGGAGAGGGTCCTGTCCGCACCCTGAGCATGTGTCCAGAGGTGCAGGTCTGAGCCCCGGGCAGGATAAGAGGACAGGGCTGGCCCTTGTCTCTGTCCTCCTTCCACTGGCATTGTTGGGTGGGGACACCTGAGCAGGTGACACGTGGCTAGCAGCTGCCTCTGCCACTCCTCTGGGGTCCCTGCTGGCACCCCTGCCCCCCAACAGGGAACCTGCACCCTCTTAAGGGCTGTCCTCACCTTGCCCCTCCCCCCCACTGTGACGCCACTGACACACAGGCCAAAGCCCTCGGTGATTAGGGCGCATGGACGGCTGGCTCCTCCTCTGCCCATCACAGTGGAGGGGCAGTGGGCATCTGGGGCCACCCCAGCCAGGAGCCCCCCTCCACCTGCACTGGTCTCTCCAAAGCTTCAGTGAGGTGACAGGACGCCGTCTGTCCTCCCTGCTAAGGGACAGTGCTGTCTGGGGAGGCGGGTGGGCCCCTGCCGCCCCCCTGCAGGCAGTGACGGCTGCCTGTGCTCATCTGGTCTGCCATTCCTGGAGGTGGGCACCCCGTGTCTCGGAACAGAGGGGGCTGTGCCCGGCCAGCTCTGTGGGTGGGAAGGGTATGCTGGGGGCCAGGGCTAGCTGGCATGTAGCCAGGAAAGCAGTTTGTCCTGCCGTGTCCTGAAGGCACCCTTGTCCAGGGACCAGAGAGCCCAAGGGACAGTCGGGCCTGTGGCCGGGTGGCTGCGTGAAGAGGGCAGAAGGCAGGCCCACTCAGACGCCAAGAGTAACCTTGAAATCCTCAGGCTGTTGTCAGTAGCCGTGCCTTCGCCTGCCTCCCACTGCGCGGCTGCCCGAGCCCCCTCGCCACCCCCCACCTCGCCACCCCCCACCTCGTCTCGGGTTGGTCAGCAACAGTCCCATCTTCGTCCTCTCTGGGAATGGGGCCTCCTCCAGGGGGCAGGGGGTCCTGCTCGCTGCTCCCGCCGTGCGACAGGGATGGTGATGGTTATGTGGTGGGAGTCACGCCATCTGTGCAGGACATGGGGTCCAGGGCTGGCCAGCGCACCTCACCAGCAGCCCACCAGCAGGAGCGGGTGGGGGTGGGGTGCGGGGCAGGGCTGCTGTGATGCTGAGCCGGCTTCAACGGGACTTCCAGACAGAGGTAGACTAGGAGCAAAGGTCTGGCAATTGGGCCCCAGGCGTCAGCTCATGGAACCTTAGGGGTCACAGCAGTCTGCTCGGAACCCTGTGGGTCACAGCAGTCTACTATGGGTGAGCGGGGGTCGGAGGGGGAGGCAGGGGTCATCACAAGTGGGCGAGCCAATTGTAACCAATTGCAGCAGCAGCAGTGAGTCTGGGCCTCCTACTTACTCTGAGTGGCCGTGGAGGTGAACTGCTCCTGGGCTGTGGGGATGGACCTGCCTCCCTAGGCCCAACCTTGCCCTGCTGCTAGTGGGCTGAGCCGTGACTCCTGCTGTATGGAGACCTCGGCGGGTCGGCTTCCTTCCTGCCGGAGTTTGTTTGATGCTGCTTCAGAGCAGGGGCTAAAAGTCAGAAGTCCGGCTGCAGAGAGAGGAGACCAGTCAGCTCTGATAAAACAGCTTCTCTGCGTGTGGCTCAGTGCCTGCTGGCGGGAGAAGTGAAGTGGCCCTGGCTCAGGGTGGGGGTGTCCAGCATGCTGTCGATCACACTGTAGTGGCCTGTCCTATCTGGGGTGGTCTGCTGGCAATGGGGACCCTGCCCGTGGCAATGGGGGGCTTTTCCGGGAGCATGCTGGGATCTGAAGCCAGTACTGGCGGCTGTGGGTCCAGGCTTAGTTCCAGGACGGGGCACCTTCCCAGTGCAGGCCGTGCTCCTCCTCCTCCCTCCACCCCCCACCGCCCAGCAGGCCCTACGATCTGGGCGACTCAGGACATGGGGATTCGCCAGATGGGCTCTGACGGGGAAGGAAGTGGCCGGAAGTGTGGCCCCACTCACGCACCAGCCTGGTCAGCAGGGAGATGTCCGGCCTGGCCGGCTATGGCTTGGGCTTTGGACAAAGGCTGGGGGGGGGGGGGGGGGGGGGGGGGGGGCAGCGACTCTGTTCTCAGCTCTGACTCTGGGGACTTCTTGGTGTTGGAGGAGGTCTGTGCGTACCGCCTCCCTGTGTCCCGTGTCCCACCAGGGCTGAGAGCTGGGGGCTTCCCAGGGGTGTCTGGAACCCAGGGTGCCCTGGGACAGGGTGAGAGGCTGGAGGCAGCAGCCCGAGAGCTGGGGGGGCAGCGGGGTCATGCCCTCCAGCTCCAGGGCATGGTGCTGGGTGCATGGGCATGGGGAGGGGCTGCCGGCTCTGGAGCTCCCTCTAGTTCACTGTTTCTCCTGGTCCCACCCGTGGGGTACCTGCGACCACCCCCAGCCACATATTCACTGTGTCTGACTCTGACTGAGTCAGAACGGTCTCCTCCAGGAAGCCCTTCGCTACTTATTGACGGGGTGCCACCTCCCAAGCCACAGCGTTGGTTCCCAGGATGCCCCAGCTGTTGGGGCACCCAGTGACCACTGGGGGGCTTCTGAAAGCTGGGGTGAGAATTACCCAGCACCCCCTGGCTGTAAGCCAGTCCCCAGCCCAGATCTTCAGCTGTTGGGTGGAGGGAGGCCAGAGGCTGGGTGCCCGGGGCCGAGGGGCGGCTCTGACTCTGACCGCATTCTGTGGGGAGACTGCAGTGTCACAGGCAGGTGTGATGGTAAGTGTAAAGCCCCCTTGGCAGTCAGCAGTGTCACCCCTCCTCTGTATCTGAACTGTCCAGGACCCAGCAAGGGCAGCAGAGGGACCTGGTCCCCAAGCACTCGCGGCAGGCTGTGTCCCACCCCCCCACCCCCAGCAGCCCTGGACATGCCCTCTGTCCAGTTGGGAGCCTTGCGTTCTGTGTGGAGTAGCCTGGCCAGGAATGTCCAGGAATGGAGGTCCCAGGGCCAGAGCAAAGTCCCGGGCAGTGTAGTTACTCCTCCCTTTGTTCCCAGGTGGGGGAGGGGCTCACGCCCTTTGTCCGCGCTGGTCAGCAGGCCTGGTGGAAGTCCGCCAGAATGGCCGCTGGCCTGGACAAACAACGGGTGTCCAGGACTGGAGCCCGCCTGGCAGACAGCCTCCCCGGGCTTGGCCAGTGGCCCTGCCCAGCGCTGCCCTGCAGGGGGACCCGGCCCCGGTGCCCATTCTAGTGCCCATTCTAGTGGTCTGGTCTCTGCTATGGACACAGTGGCACCTCAATGCCAGTGCATGGGGTGGGGGGGAGCAGACAAGGATACCCAGCTTTGTGACTCTCACTGACTGGGCACCCATTAGCCGGGCCAGTGTGTGACCTTCACTGGGACAGACCTCCAGTCCACCTGCCCCACAGGGAGCCCCTGGCAGCTCCCTCCATCCCCCGACTTGGTCCGTGAGAGGGGCTCCCGATGAGTGCTGACCAGGCCGCACAGGCGCCAGGTGGCCTGGGCACTCTGACATAGATGTGGCTGCCGCCGAGACTCCACGTGTCTGAGCAAGGAGGGCGGCCGGCCAGGCCTGTGTGCCTGGCTTGGTGGGGAGGGCCACCCGGAGGCTGTGTTGGAGTGCCTGCACAGGTCACCCCCTCCCCCTTTCGTATTGCTGGCTTCCTCCCGGCCCACCTCTGTCCTCCCAGCATCCGATGCTGATAACAGGGACATCCTCCCTTCCCTCCGAGACACAGAGCCGCCTCCGCCCTCCCAGCTGCGGAAGGGGTGTGGGAGCTACAGGAGGTGCCTGCTGGGAGCGAGTCCGAATGGATCTGCTCGGCCCAGGGGGTGGGGGTGGGGTGGGAGGTCAGGCCCAGTGCCCCGGATGCCCTCCGTGGCCTGTGCTGTGGGTGGATGACTGTCATTTCCCAGCACCCTCTGGGAGCAGGCTTACCTGGTGGCCCTGCAGATGACAGCAGACTCAGGGCTCCTGAGAGGCCCCCATGAGAGAGTCCCCCCTCCCTCCAGGCCTCCCACTGGGGAACTGGCCCTTTTCCTGCCTAGTCCCTCCCAGCAGTCCACTCCTAGCTTCACGGTCCTCAGAGACGAGTGACGAGGATGATGGGGGTGGCTTCTAAGAGCTCAGGGATGGAGGCCCCAGGGCTGAGGGTCCTCTCCGCCCCCACCTCGTCCCTGCGTGTGGCTCTCCCCTGTGTGACTGACTGTGCCACCACTGTCTCCACCTCACAGCAAAACGTGTCTGCAAGCAGCTCACCACACACAGGCGTGCACACCCTCGCACAGGGACACAGGTGCCCGGGACACAGGAGGGCCGCCAGCACCGGGTGGGAAGGAGGTTACGAGACTGTGGAGCTTTCCTGGGACTTTTGAAGCCCTCTTGTGCATGCACACCCATACAGGCCCACACACGTGCTTGCACACAGGTGCAGACTCACGTGCACATGAACACATACAGACACCCCTGCATGCCCTTGCAGAGAGGCCACATGCACGTAGGTGCAACCTCCTACACATGCATATGAACACGTACACATGCTTACTAATGTGAGCGGGCATGCTTACCCACACACGGATGTCCGCCTACTCACGTGTACACATGTGCGACGATGCTTGTGTACATGGTGCAGATACAACAATACACATACACAGGCACACACCTGCACCCCAGAATTGGGAGCCACCCCGCCCTCACGGGCTGCCCTGCTTCACTGGGATTAAGTCAAGCAGAGCACACCTGTGCTGCATCCCCCTCACCTCAGGCCCAGAGCACTACAGACATGTGCAGACCCCTCTGTCTGCTTTGTCCACACTGCTGCTCTGGTCTCCCAGAGTCGGCCAGGCGCTCCCCTCCCTTGGTGGCTCCTAAGAAGACTGGGCTGGGGGTCCCGCTGTGGAGAAGCCCACCTGAGGGCAGTGGAGGCTGGAGGCCAGCCTTACGCTGCCCAGGGAGTGTGGATCTGTGTCTGGGGGTCTCCAGGTGCCCTCCAAGTCCCTGAATGTCCCCCTTATCTGCTGTGTGGGTCTGAAGCTGAGGAGCAGGGGATGGGAAGGGTGTCATTGGGCCTGGGTAGCTGATGACTGACACACAGGCAGACTAGGGGGTGAAGGCATCTGTCAGGCAAGCCGTAGGGAGCCCTGTCCATGTTAGGTGCCCCCATCCCCCCATCCCCCCATCCAAGGTGCCCAGCCACATGACATGATAAACTCGCTGAAGAAGTCAACTGTCCCTGCATCTTGTTGGTGTGGGGTTCTGGCTGCTGGGGACCGTTCGTTCGCCTCCAGCCCACCACCACCACACCAGGTGGTGGGAACATGCACTTGGTCCACGGGCTGTGACTCTCGGCCTTGGATGCCAGCCTGTCCTCACGGGGCCTCGGCTCACAGCTGCAGGCCTCGCTCCTCGGGGAGCTTCATAATCCACGTCGGGGTCCGGAGGGAGGCGGGCTTAGGCCATCTGCAGGCCAGGCGGGCATAGGCCCCTCCACATCACATCTCTGAGCAGGTGCACAGGTGTGTCTGCAAACACCCTGGGGGCAGCCCCCTCCCCACCATGCTCACCCTCTGCAGATGTGTACTCCGAGCGCTGCCCTCGGGGTCCCTGCTCTGACCTGCCCTCTGTCCCTGCAGAGCATCATGGAGCAGTACAACCCCAGCCTGCGGAACTTCATCGCCATGGGGAAGAACTACGAGAAGGCCCTGGCAGGTAAGGCCATGCTGCCCCGCTGCTTCACAGGTAGGGGTGGGTGGGAGCTAATTCTCCAGTGGGACGCGGGCCTAACTTGTCCGCAGATGGGCTGGGCATAGGCCAGGGCACTGCGAGGGACCACGTCTCTGTGGCTGAAACAAACCTGGCAGAGGTGCTGTGGGAGGAGGCGTGGGTGCCTCACACCCCACAGGGGAGTCTGCTGCCATGGTGACAGAGATGGAGCTGCCCTGGGAGAGGATCAGGGTGACAAGCCCTTGACCAGGCTCTGAGCCTGGTACATATTTGACAGGGGCAGGGTGTTGGAGCTTGACTAAGTGGTGGGGTCCAGCCTGGGCTGGGAGGCTCTGGAGGGCACGTGCAGGGAACACACTCAGTTGCTGACAGAGAGGCTGGGGGTTCTAATCCACCCAGAGGCACCTTGAAAAAATGGCCTGATAATTGGTTTCTGAAAACCCTGTGCTTGTCTGACACATAGGGGGTGCTGCGTTAGGTCTCTGGCGGGTGGGCTGTACTCTGGGAGGGAGAACCACTCCATCAGACACACATCGAAAGCGGCCCCTCTGAACCGGATGCCCGCCTCTCCGGGTGTCGGTTCTTCTGAACCGGAGTGAGCAGCGCAGGA